TAAGGTTAGAAAATATTAGCTTCATCAATGCTACAGCAAATTCTCATAGGAACACTCATGTTTTCTTGAACTATTAGCTTAATCAATGCTACAGCAACTTCTCATAGGAACACTCATGTTTCCTTGAGCTAATACTACACTCTATAGCTGATTCGAATTAGGGTGATGTTAAAGTGACATCATAAAAGTGTCTGGAATAAATTACAGTAGTGCAGTAACTGCAGTTCAAATGAAAGTCCATCATCTCTAACCAAATGTGAAGTTACAAATATGAGCCACTAGGGGGCGATGTGGGTCAACTATTGGTGGCTGGTCAAAGCCAAGGAATCGTTTTATAAGTCATTTCCTTCCTCTTAGCTCCTAAGGCAGCCCGTTATATAAACATGACATTCTCAAGGTGTATTAATTCATATAGTGTTAGAACGTGAGTGCAAACTACAACTATGTACTGTACTAGCACTGTAGCTGTCAATTTCTGGGGCAACCTTGTGCCCAAAAGCTGGCAACCCAAGAATACCATGTCTCATACCTAACCTCCTGCTTCCAATACACCACAGAACAGTGTTAAGATACTGCTATAACACTGTACAAGAAGAAAGATGTCCCTGTCAAATTCCTGTGTACCCTCAATGTTATTCTGAGATACCAATTGTGTTACCTTTAGGCTGTACACAACCCAACTAAATGTATGAGAATAATATTATATAAAATTAGAATATTATGACTTAGAGGCTTCCCACAATATAGACGCAGGCTCCAATGTCAGCCACTAATGCTATGATACTACCGCTGAGGCCAGTTTGTCTTTGTAGGTGAGCATGAGATACACACTCAATAAAACCAAGTACGCCACATGGACAGTTAAAGGGGAAAGGGAGAACCCATGCTACAAAATATCCATTAAAAAAAAAAAAAAATTATAAAACGTTTTTAAGAAGTAGCCCATGCCAAGCACAAAAAGGCAGAGCTAAAACCACAGAAAATAAGGAAAGTGCAATCCAATATTAAGTCAGAGAAAAGTGCCATTACAATGCCAAAATTAGGCCACCATGCAAAAATAATAATAACCACATACCAAAAGTATTGACCAGCATTCACACGAGGAAGCCAGTATCCTCATAGTACGCTTTAGTATTCACTAGATCAGAGGTGTCTAACCCTGGGTCTCTAGGGCTTTACAGGGGGTCCTCTCCTCAGTTTGCCAACCAGGAACATATCTTACAATACTATGAAATCCCTTCATCTACTAATTTAAGGACTTAAGGCCTGTCTTTGACTGACCACCAGCAGACCCAGTGTCTCTCCAGGAGGGCTGGGGTCCGTTGTCCCATGGGGAGGCTCAGTCGTGGGAGACAGACCAGGGAGAGACCTGCCTCTCTGGCCTGGGTGGGGGGTGAGACTGGGTGTGTTAGGATTACCAGAGACTGAATCAATCAGTTCTGCTATTATCCTTTGCAGAACCTGTCTGTAACTGTATACAACTACCTTACACTATACTACACTGTACACTCTGTTTCCTAGTAGTGGATGTGCATCATTAAGGCAAGCTTTGTAGGGCATGTCTACCATTAGTAGGACATCTCTAATTACTCCTCCTTGGGGCATTGAAAGGGGTCATGCAGGGGATGCAGCTCAGTTGGTAGAGCATGGCGTTTGCAACACCAGGGTTGTGGGTTCGATAAAATAATGTATGCGCTAACTGTAAGTCGCTCTGGATAAGAGCGTCTGCTAAATGACTAAAATGTAAATGTAATGGAAGTGAAAACATCTCTATGTCCCCATGTCAACCCCAGATTAATGTTCTAATATCCCAGCCCTAAATAGGGGCGCTAGGACTATTTGCAAGATGCCTGGGTTAATTCCCCTTCTATTTTTTTTGTTGGTAAGGTTCTCACTTGGGTCCCATGAGATCCTATCGCACAGATATTTCAGTTGCCGTTGAAGACTCAAACACGCCTCCTGTGGAGAAAAGTAAAATGAGCTAACTCCCACTGTTAGTCCCTGTCGGCAGATAGCCTAGCGGTTAAGAGCGTTGGACCAGTAACCGAAAGGTCGTTGGTTCTAATCCCAAAGCTGACTAGGTGATTGATGTGCCCTTGAGCAAGGCACTTAACCCTAGTCGCTCTGGATAAGAACCTCTGCTAAATGACGTAAATGTTATCTGGGTAAAGCTGGGGGTGGAAATCTCAAGCCGACAAATAGAACAAAAGTGCTTTAGAAAAACGTGTCAAAAAGTATAGTTTTTTTCACATTCACTCCTAAACAGTAGAAAATAAAATAACAGTAACAATTACCGTTTTCTTCTTTCAACACGCCTGTTGTAATACACACTGTCGTGGATTAATGGAGATCTTATAGGTGCAGTGGGTTATTAAGAGTTTCTCAGCAGTTCAACATCCAACTCCAATAGCATTCAACTAAAAGCTACAACTGCATCCTCTTTGTTAACAACTGATTGAAACACACTCCTTCGCAATGAAATAAAACTGCACTCTGAAACTAAAAGCAAGTCCAATATTTGGTCTAATACTGCATTGAAAATTATGTAGGTAACTTAATGTTAAGATTAAACTTTGAAGCGTAACTCTACTCATACTGAAATTACCATTATTTAAATTAATAATACTCTGAATATATTCACTTACCCAATGTCTATTAGACTGCCACACACCTTTGGATAAGGAAAAATAACCCTAAACCCCTAAAGCTTTTCCAAGAGATCCTGAACAGTTCATAGGACACTTCAGATCAGATGTGAATGTAACATTATCTTTGTAGATTTGTAAGGTTCCCGCATATTAACACTGATAAAGGACTGGGCAGACATTTCAAAACGAGTTGACAGAAAAGAAAGATACAAGGTGTGTGTGTGTATGTTTAAGTGTGTGTGTTTATGTTTAAGTGTGTGTGTGTATGTTTAAGTGTGTATGTGTGTGTTTAAGTGTGTGTATATATATATTTAAGTGTGTGTGTGTATGTTTAAGTGTGTATGTGTGTGTTTAAGTGTGTGTGTTTATGTTTAAGTGTGTGTGTTTATGTTTAAGTGTGTGTGTGTATGTTTAAGTGTGTGTGTGTGTATGTTTAAGTGTGTGTGTGTGTGTGTATGTTTAAGTGTGTGTGTGTGTGTGTGTGTGTGTATGTTTAAGTGTGTGTATGTCATACTGTAGACATATTGAGCACCGTTTTCAGAGGAGTGAAAGGCTATGTCCTGCAGTGACACTTGGGTTTTACCTGACACTGCAGCTTTAAAAACAGACTGAGAGACGGATCAAAAAGTGATATTCCTCCTTTCCTAATCCCTTTTTCCCTTCCTCCCATATTTGCCATGTTAAGGAGGATGAGGGGAGAGGGCGAGGAGACAGGAGGGAGAGAACATGTCACAGCTTAATTTTTGGTATAATACCTTTCAACACTCTGTGAGGACAAACAGCTAAAGTTGACTTTCAAATACAACTGGAATAAAATAAAGTCAAAAGTGACTGGAATTAAGGATATACACAGGCAGGGGAGAAAACTCCTGTTTGCTCCTGGTGAGGGTTGATGATGGGACACTGAGCAGTGCTGCCCCCTGTGGTAAGGATGAGTAAAGGCAGGCTGGCTGAGGGCACCCTAGTGGTCAATCAAGACGGAGCAAGAACTCTGTTCAGTTCTGCTTCTTACTCCCTCCCATGGCAGTGGTATCAAATAGCCCTCTGATCCAGAATTGCTATCAAGTGTTCACTTTGAATGTCTTTGAGGGGGATTTGGTCAGTTTGTTCAGCACTGTTGGCCTCTCCTCTTGGTGTTATGTGGGGGTTGGGGGGGGGGGGGGGTCATGATGGGTTCTTGAACCACCAACCATCTGCTGGGCTGGAGCAGGTTCCTAAACCCAGACTACCCCCTCTACTCCCCCTCCCTTGGAGACAGGTGATTATAGAACAGTCTAGGTCCTAGGACAACATTTGGGATTCAAATCTCCAACACAGAGCTTCACTGTGATGAGACCAGAAGGAGAAAAAAAATGATGTCAAACTTTTCCAAAATGGAGGACAAAGTCTGTGGACGATAAGTTAGTCAGGCATAAGTGGTGGTCAGCTCTGGGATAGGCTCTACTATAATTTGAAATCCCTGCCACCATTTTGGTCATCAGGGTCTTCAACACTGCATGTGTCTTTGGGTGGTGTGTGTCATTACCCCTGACCAGACCTCACGGCGAAAGAAAACCAAACAGAAACATTCCTCCTTGTGTGTTGGACCAGCGCTGGAGCGCCTCTGGCTACTTGTCTGGTCCAGTGTGCTAACAGTCTGAATAGACGTGAAGGCAGAGGTAACCTCCCCATAGGGGAGTCTTAGCAGTGGTCTGTGGAATGGTCTGTGCGCCTGTGTAACTGGGAGAGAGAGCCCTTGTTCCCAGTCCCATCACCCCCGGCTGGTGGCTGGGTGGAGCTCAGGGGGAGGAGGCAGCACTGGACTGAGGCCTGGCAAGGTGAGGCCAGCTGGGGCATAGAGAACTGCCCAAGCCTGACCTACAGCTGTGGGGGTGGAGAACCTCGCACGTACGTGCACACACACACACACACACACGTTTGTTTTACTACCCTTGTGGGGACCAACACATTTATTCCCATTCAAACTTGTATTTTCCCTAACCCAAAACTTAACCTTAACCCTAATCTTAACCCTAACCTTAACCCCAAACCCTAAAACTAAAACTAAACCTAACTCCTAACCTTAACTCTAACCTGAACCCCAAATGTAACCCTAACCCTAAACCTAACCCCTAAGCTTAAAATAGCCCTTTTCTTTGTGGGGACCGGCAAAATGTCCCCAGTTGTCAGAATTGTCCTTGTTTTTCCTTGTGAGGACTTCTGGTCCCCAGTATAACCACACAGACACAGACAATCATACAGAGGGGAGACTTGGCTCTCCCGTCATGGAGGGGTGGTAGACTCATGGCCTCCTCAGTCTGGGGTGAGAGGTCAGAGGACAGGAGCAGGAGGGGTCATGGAGGGGCGACAGCCTCAGGAGACGTGGGGCGAGGAGGACGAGTGTCTCCAGAAGCACCAGCCCCTTTTGGTGTGCTGCTTACCAAGGATCTCTTCCTCGCGCTGGCGCTCCTTCTGAGAGCGCAGGTAGCGGTCCTCCTCCTTCAGGAACCACACTGGAGGCCATCGCTGCTTCTCAAAGTGCCTCTGGTTCTCTACATGCAGAAAGAGAGAGGGAGAGAGAGGGGAGATCAGAATAAACAAATTAATAATTTAAAGTGGGAAATGGGGGAGACATTTCCATAAATAGATGTAGAAAGAGAAAGAAAAAAGAGTGAAATGAAGAGAAGAGATGAGAGGATTAAATAAGAAAAGGAGGCAGGACAGGAAAGAGTGAATATAAGGGAGAACAAATGAATGTGAAAAAACAAGTGAGAGGAGTGGAGGGAAGGAGGGGAAGTGGGGAGCGGAGGTGGGGAGGAGAATGAAGTTGGGGATTGGAGGTGGGACTGGCGGTACAAAGGAGCTGAAAAATGTGTTGAGAATAATAATAATTTATTAAACTTCTATATTGCTTTTCATAACAGAAAGAAATCTCAAAGCGGGTTCTAAAAAAAAAACAAACCAAACCCTACATCAAAATTAGTTTCCTATCCTATAGATTTAAAAGGGTGGAGAGAAGGAAAGGGAGGAGAGGAGAAGGGGGTGGAGGGAGGAAGGAAAAGGGGGGAAAGAAGGGGGGGAAAAGAAGAGGGAAGAAAGAGAACCAAAAAAGGGAGAGAGGGGAAGGGGAAAAAGAGAGGGGAAGAAAAGGGGAAAAGGGGGGGGAAGAAGGGGGGAGGGGGGGGAGGAAGAGGGAGAGAAGGGGGAACAAGGGGGGGGGGGGGCCCCCGGGGGGGGAAAGGGGGGTTTTTTTTTGTAACCCCGGGCCCCTTTACCTTCATGTCTTTGGGGAAATTGGGGACAAAAGTTTTGTAGTTTGGTTTCAATGTGATGGGAGACCCAGGCAGGAAAAGCTGGGTTGGGATTGGGAACTTCCCCCGGGGGGGGAAAGAATAGGTTTTAGCAGTCCCCTCAAAAAGGTTGAAAAGACCCAAAAAAGTAAACCTCAAAAAATTTCTACTTTAAAACAAGAAAGTGAACTTGAATGGGGGTTGGGGAAAAAAGGCTTTTTAAGACTAATGTCCCCCGCATTGAGAACAAATTCTTCATTTCCCGTATTTGAATAAAGGGGGCCCAACTTTGGGTTTTGGGCCATCATTCTTGGATTTTTATTAGAAAAATTCCCCCCCAGTGAAATAGTAGGGCCTTATCAACCACGTATGTATTTTGTGTAGTAAAAAAAGGTTTTAAAAATTTCGTTTAAAAGTGTCTTTCCCCTAAAACTGTCATTGAGAAATCCCGTGAGTACGTGTGATGAATTGGGGACTCACCCGAGCCAACCCCCAGGTAAGCAAAGCACCTGTCCGTAAAAGTCTACCCCCCTTCACCAAAAACTGTGCAGCCATCCCCAAAATGTTTTCTCTGGGGAGGGCAAAAGAGGCGTGGCCGAAAGGGCCCGGTTTTGGGTGGAAGATGAATCCAACGTCCCAGTTTTTTTGCGGCCGGGGGGGGCCGGAAATGGGAGTAAGGGTACCCGGAGGGATCTGGTTTTTCCGTGCCCTTTCCTTTGGGCGGGCTCCCTTTGTGGGTTTTTGGGAAACTAAACTTTGCCTTGGACCCCCTTTTTTTTGGGGGCCCCATCTGTTGCAAAGGCCAGCAAAACTTTTTTTAACCGAATGAATTGTGGGAATTTGACAAATTTTTTTTTAAAAAATTGTTTGAAAAGAAAATTTTTTAACAGTGAATTAATGTGAAGGCCAATTTTAAAAGGGCCCCAAACTAATTTTCAGAGATAGATTTCCTAGGAAAATTAATTCCTTAACATTTTGTATTTGTGTTAATTTTTCTAACAGTCCTTAATTTGGAATTTCATAGGTGTTAATTAACTCCTGAAATAGGTAAAAACCATTCCCTCCTTCACACTGCAAAAAAAGCCTTCATCCACAACATTTGTTTGGGGCAAAGGGCTGGCAGAACCCGCCGGTTGGAAGGCGATAGACGCATACGCTCCCATTCAGGGGCATCAGCACCCAGAGACACTGACTACGCATACGGTGGGACCCTGGAAGGGGAGAGAAGAGAGAGAGAGAAGAGAGGAAATGGGAGAGCGCGCAGAGAGATAGAGAGCGAGAGGATAGGAGAGAGAGTTCTGATAAGTGCGAGAGGAATCAATGGGGGGACGCGAGCAGAGCGCTAGCCTGAATTTGGGGTCTCGAGCCCATCTTTATTTAGTATGTACTCCAGTAGTTATTTGTCTATAACTTAAGTGTTTCCTTTAGATCTGTCTCCAAGGCAGGAAACAACAAAATGTCAAATGGGGGACATTGTATAGTGCGCTCGAAAAGTATTCAGACCCCTTGACTTTTTCCACATTTTGTTATGTTACAGCTTTATTCTAAAATTGATTATATTAAATGTTTTCCTCATCAATCTACACACATAACGACAAAGCGAAAATAGGTTTTTAGACATTTTTGCAAATTTATAAAAAAACAAAACAGAAATACCTTATTTACATAAGTATTCAGACCCTTTGCTATGAGACTCGAAATTGAGCTCAGTTGCATCCTGTTTCCATTGATCATCATCCTTGAGATGTTTCTACAACTTGATTGGAGTCCACCTGTGGTAAATTCAATTGGGGCGGCAGGTAGCTTAGTGGTTAAGAGCGTTGTGCCAGTAACCGAAAGGTCGCTGGTTCTAATCCCCGAGCCGACTAAGTGAAACATCTGTCGATGTGCCCTTGAGCAAGGCACTAAACCCTAACTGCTCCTGTAAGACGCTCTGGATAAGAGCGTCTGCAAAATGACTAAAATGTAATTGTCTATATAAGGTCCCACAGTTGACAGTGCATGTCAGAGCAAATACCAAGCCATGAAGTCAATGGAATTGTCCGTAGAGCTCCGAGACAGGATTGTGTCGAGGCACAGATTTGGGGAAGGGTACCAAACCATTTCTGCAGCATTGAAGGTCCCCAAGAACACAGTGGCCTCCATCATTCTTAAATGGAAGAAGTTTGGAACCACCAAGACTCTTCCTAGAGCTGGCCGCTCGGCCAAACTGAGCAATCGGGGGAGAAGGGCGATGGTCAGGGAGGTGACCAAGAACCCAATGGTCTCTCTGACAGAGCTCCAGAGTTCCTCTTTGGAGATGGAACCTTCCAGAAGCGTCATACCCAAGAAGACTCTAGGTTGTAATCGCTGCCAAAGGTGCTTCAACAAAGTAGTGAGTAAAGGGTCTGAATACTTATGTAAATGTAATATTTCTGTTTTTTATTTGTAATACATTTGCAAAAATGTCTAAAAACCTGTTTTGCTTTGTCATTATGGGGTATTGTGTGTAGATTGATTAGAAAAAACTAAACAATTTAATCAATTTTAGAATTGATTTTAGAAACGTAACAAAATGTGGAATGTTTGAGATTGTAGAAATGGGACTCCGACCGCCATGCACGGTGGTGCGGTGGGTAGGTCACGTAAGGAGAGTGATGTCACAGGACGCGGGGGGGGGGGGGGGGGGGGGGGCGAGTTGAAGGGCTGTCCGTCTCCAGTTGAGGAGTACCTTTTGAGATGAAAGTCCCTCCCTACCAGGGGGGCACTGACGCTAGCTAGAGCCACGACTAACGGTAACAGCATCAAAGAACCCCGGAATTACCCCACTGGGCCGGTCGCTACGGGTGGCATAGATGGCCTGGATGTCATTGTGGGACAGAGCTGGAAGCAGAGCTGTGAAAGGAACCGAGGAAAAGAGACTTCTGATTGGACCATGAGAAGAGAGCATTTACGTACGCACATCCAAAACGGAGCAGGATCAACATGAAAGAACAGCCACTGTGTCCCCACATCCGGACAATAAAGCTACAGAAATGAAGGTAATGTCCGCTCACCATTTGCTGCTCACTGTGTCCTGCTCCAATAACATGGTCTGTTGTTGGTGCAGGACACAGGCTGACCAGAGCTATCCATACAGGTAGAGTGGGTCGGGTGGAGGTGCCCTAGACATGTGGAGCCCCAGTGAAAAAAAAGCTGTCCATTGCAGACACAAATCATGTAAAGGTTTATTTTTGTTTGTGTGGTTATTTGAAACACTGGCTAAAAGTATGGAATGGACTAAGTAAAAGTCCAGGAGAAACTTGCTATGAGGAAAAAAAAGATACCAGATTCATGAAGATACTCTTATCCTCAGTGCAAGAGTTGCCAGCTGGCCAAAAGTGTGTTTCTTTCCTGAGAGGAGAGCAAACAAAGGCACAGCCACAAGTGACGGCCGAGGAGTTACGGGGGCAACTTGGGGAGGGATAGAAAGAACTGCTGGGACTGTTGGACCATGGTAACCCCCTTTCTTCATCTTCTCCCCACCCCCTCCCACACACGCATGCAACGTTTACAAAATACAGAAAAACTGCACCACCCTGGCCACTAGGTGACACTAAAGTATAACTGTGCTTGGCTTCAGATAGTACTGACCAAGTGACATTTACATTTTCCTCCTTTAGCTGACGCTCTTATCCAGAACGACTTACAGGAGCAATTAGGGTTAAGTGCCTTGCTCAAGGGCATATAGACCGATTTTTCACCTAGTCAGCTGAGGGATTCGAACCAGCGACCTTTCGGTTACTGGCCCAACGTTCTTAACCGCTAGGCTCTCTGCCGCCCTAGCTAGTGATTTAATTAAATGTTGTTCTACATTTTCAACCTTTCAGCCCAATCAGTTGGTCAATATGTTGGATTAAAAAGGGACAAGACATTTGAAAGTCTCAGAGCAGTCTCAACACCACTACTGAGTATATTGCCTTGTGGTTTAAGCTACAGTAGGAGACGGTTAGAGGTGGGAAGAGCCATGGGACCCACAGGGGTGCCAATTAGGTGAATGTCAGCCTGGCAATGACCCTTCATTATGGAGGAAAACGTCGAGGTAGAGACACAGGTGGCCGCTCCTGTTAAAAGCTCTCAAACACACACACACACACACACACACACACACACACACACACACACAACACAACACAACACACACACACACAACACAACACACAAGTCCTTACTCCTCATCATAATGGCATTAAAACCAAACTATACAATCAGGGAGGGGTTTATTGAGTTCAATGTGATCCATTATAGGTGGAATTGTGGGGGGGGGGGGGGGGGGGACTGACAAGGACACAGCAGGCTGGCAAGCTGCTGGCACAGCAGATCGTAACAGTTGACCAGAATAGAAGTGTTATCACAGCACCTCGTGAATAGAAACAGTGACAGGCTAAAAATACACGTGAGAGAAGTGAGAGAGGAGAGTGGTGAGAAGAAGCAAGGTGAAAGGTGTTAAAGTAACTGTCCAGTGAAAATCTCACTTTTAAAAGCTCATAATCTGTTAAGTTGTACACAAATAATGTTGTTGACTCATCCTATACTCGTATTTGTGGCCAAAGCATAACTTTGAGAAAAAAACACTTTAAAAGCCTCATAGTGCCGAGCGATTAGTGCTTTTTGAGGTCGGTTCGGTTTCAGTTTGATTATTAAAAAAGAATCACGCTTTCATTTTTTTATTTTTTATTAGATGCATTATGAAATAATTACAATAACATTATTTTTGAGCTTTTGAATGGAAATTCCAAAGCCAAAAATAGTGCATTCAATTGCCAAAACATTGAACATACTCCATTGTCTCTGTCAGGTGACAGGTCCACATAGAAAAATAGGAAATTACTATGAAATAATAAACGTTTTTATTTGATGACTTTATTTATTTTTCATTCCTTAAAAGTCATCATCTCATCTCTGCTCAGGCAGTAGCAGCCAAACAGCCAGACAACGTTCTCTCTGCTCAGGCAGTAGCAGCCAAACAGCCAGACAACGTTCTCTCTGCTCAGGCAGTAGCAGCCAAACAGCCAGACAACGTTCTCTCTGCTCAGGCAGTAGCAGCCAAACAGCCAGACAACGTTCTCTCTGCTCAGGCAGTAGCAGCCAAACAGCCAGACAACGTTCTCTCTGCTCAGGCAGTAGCAGCCAAACAGCCAGACAACGTTCTCTCTGCTCTTTAGTCATCCTATTTATCTAGGCTAGCCTGCCTAAGCATGCTGCAGAGCTGTCTGACAAAATCCTTTTACTAGTTCTTCAAAGTAGATAAGGCATACTTTCACAAACTGTCTCTAGCACCGTCTCTATCCCTCTCTCTCTTCTTTGTGTTGTGTACTTGCCTCTCTCATGCGGTATATTCAGTCTGTGTGTATATAACCTAACGTAGAAGGCATAAAAGTGTATCCATCTCTGTCCGAGCCGGAAAAAACAGGCGCAATGGATTATGGTCATTGTGGTTAATTACCACGTTTCTGCGCTGAACTAGGCTGAATATTTGCTTAATAAAAACTAAAACTTTGATTTCTCTCTAGAGAAACTGCACGTTGGGTTCAGAAAAATCTGAACAAACGTGGGTCAATTAGTTGTTTAATAACCGGAAAAATAAAAACGAAATGTCGGTTAATCACTCAGCATTAAAAGCCCTCCCTCAAACTTGTATCTCAAAATGCTTGCTTTTTCCTCATAGAAGATGATGTCATATTTTTGGCCGAGACGTCTCATTGCCTGAGCTGTCCAATCAGCTGTTTACTTGTCATTCATATTTTTATTGACCGGTATATGGGATGTAGCTCAGTTGATAGAGCATGGCGTTTGCAACGCCAGGGTTGTGGGTTTGATTCCCACGGGGGGCCAGTATAAAATAAATAATAATAATGTATTCACTAACTGTAAGTCGCTCTGGATAAGAGCGTCTGCTAAATGACGTAAATGTAAATATATGCCCACACCATTCAGTTGTTGGGGTACGCCCACACCATTCAAACACAGAAAAGCAGCTTTTTAACATGCTTCATTTTTTTTTTTTATGGAAGAAAAACTATTTCACTAATATTGTAATTAATTATATAGAAATCTGGAAACATTGAACAGCTACTTTAAAGACAGACAGAACTGTGTTTAAAGACAGACAGACAAACACACTCTGAAACAGAGGCCAGACAAGTCACAGTGCACTACAGTACAGTACACCGATTGGTCCGAGACTCCCAAGGTCACAGGCCTCTCCACACCACTCTGATGCCTAGCACTGCCTACAACCATAGCCACATCTGTGTCACTCCAAGGGAGGCTTTGTCTATGCACCTCAAGGCCAGCCAGCTAAGCAGGGGAAGGATAGGGCTGTGTGTGTGTGCTGCTGAGATTTTAAACGCTGCGATCATTGCTGCACCGCTATGGACATTTCTCACACAAAGACACATGCTGGCGGCTTCACATTGTCCAGAGCCTCAGTCTTTGTTAGATGCACTATGCCAGCCAAATGCCATAAAGATTGCCACAATGGGGACAAACATGACACTTTCAGGGTTACCATGGATACTGGCAAGCGTTCTGGTGACCCCCCCCCTCCCCACTGCTGTTGGTGTTTTACAAATGACCCCCGTCCCGGTGCCCCCTCCTACACACACACACAAACAAACAAACTTACCCCTACTCTCTCTACAACAACATACAACTACCACTTACCCTCCCAGTCTCCACCTCAGAGCACGCAACACACCATGACCCTGTCCACTCTTCCTTCACCCCCACTCCTCCCTCTCTGTGGACTCTGGCTGTAAGAGTATCCAGAGGGCCTGTCCAGCGTCCTGTTTCCTGGGGCTGCCTGCTTCCTGGCAGGGCCGTAACCCAAAGCCTGTGGGGCCTGGACTGTAACCGTACCTGGGGGATCCAGTTCTCCAGGAGGGCCCAAGCTGCGGACACCCACAGCATGGAGAAACAAGTGCTCCCTCCCTGGGTGGGTTGGCAGCCACGCCCTGGAGGAGTAGTCTTTCTAGAACCCGAGCCATCAGAGAGAAGCCGGGGGTAACCAGACACTGCGCAAGGGGAAAACTGACCTGGATAAAGATCCGGGCCACAGTCTGACTATATCCTGTGTTCTAGCTAATATACACTGCATTCGAAAAGCAGTTGTAAATGAGAACTTGTTCTCAACTGGCTTACCTGGTTAAATAAATGTTAAATAAAAAAATTAGAAAGACAAGGGGTCTGAATACTTTCCCAATGCACTGTATATAGCATGCTGTGTGCCTGCATAGTTTCCCATGAACAGCTCTCTAACGTGAATGCATGTCGTCTTACACCATTGTCTTGGGGTCAAATGTCAAAGGAAAAATAGATTCTTAATCTCTAAAAGCGGTCCCTTTGAGATACAGTGCCTTCGGAATGTATTCAGAACCCTTGACCTTTTCCGCATTATGTTGTGTTACAGCCTTATTCAAAAATTTATTAAATATTATTTTTTTCTTAGCAATCTACACACAATACCCCATAATGACAAAGCGAAAACAGGCTTTATTAAAAATAAAAAACAGAAATACCTTATTTACATAAGTATTCAGACCCTTTGCTATGCGACTCGAAATTGAGCTCAGGTGCATCCTGTTTCCATTGATCATTCTTGAGATGTTTTTACAACTTGATTGGAGTCCACCTGTGGTAAATTCAATTGATTGGACTGGACATGATTTGGAAAGGCACACACCTGTCTATATAAGGTCCCACAGTTGACAGTGCATGTCAGAGCAAAAGCCATGAGGTCGAAGGAATTGTCAGTAGAGCTCCGAGACAGGATTGTGTCGAGGCACAGATCTGGGGAAGGGTACCAAAAAATGTCTGCAGCATTGAAGGTCCCCAAGAACACAGTGGCTTCCATCATTCTTAAATGGAAGAAGTTTGGAACCACCAAGACTCTTCCTAGAGCTGGCCGCCTGGCCAAACTGAGCAATAGGGGGAGAAGGGCCTTGGTCAGGGAGGTGATCAAGAACCCGATGGTCACACTGACAGAGCTCTAGAGTTCCTCTGTGGAGATGGGAGAACCTTCTAGAAGGACAACCATCTCTGCAGCACTCCACCAATCAGGCCTTTATGGTAGAGTGGCCAGATGGAAGCCACTCCTCAGTAAAAGGAACATGACAGCCCGCTTGGAGTTTGCCAAAAGGCACCTAAAGACGTATATCTCTGTAGAGACCTGAAAATAGCTGTGCAGCAACGCTCCCCATCCAACCTGACAGAGCTTGAGAGGATCTGCAGAGAGGAATGGGAGAAACTCCCCAAATACAGCTGTGCCAAGCTTGTAGCGTCATACCCAAGAAGAGTCGAGGCTGTAATCGCTTCCAAAGGTGCTTCAACAAAGTACTGAGTAAAGGGTCTGAATACTTATGTAAATGTAATATTTCCATTTTTTCTTTTGTATAAATTTGCACAAATTTATTAAAGCCTGTTTTTGCTTTGTCATTATGGGGTATTGTGTGTAGATTGATGAGGGAAAAAACGATTTAATTAATTTTAGAATAAGGCTGTAACGTAACAATGTGGAAAAAGTCAAGGGGTGTGAGTACTTTCCGAATGCACTGTACGTATTGTCCTCTAGTCTACCACCTCTCTGAGACTCAGCCTCCCTCCATCGCCTCTTCTCCAGCCATCCGATGAGGCTGTGACATGACAGTGTGTTGATAACAGGCATGAATGTGGGCAGTATGTCTGGTTAGAGCTGTGATGTGATATTTTGATATTCTCACGCAGCCTCTTGTCCAGCAAGTATGTGTAGACAGGAAATTACCCAGAAAGTGCAGAGGTGAGCCGACTTCCTGCTGCAGCTGCTCAGACGAGGAACCCTGTCTGCCTGCTCGCTTTATACCATATGTTTCTGGCTGTATGCAACGCCAGCACTGTATGTATTGTCGGTTAGTGTGGTAGTTGGCTCTGTGAGCCCTTAGGGGAGGCTTATACTATGGTGAAACACAGATCACTGTGCATGTGAATACAACCCATCCTTACTGAACCAATCAATGTAATTGTTCTCTCTCTCTCTCGCTTCTCTCATCTCCTCCTCTCCTCTCTCTCTCTCCTCTCTCTCTCTCCCTTCTCCTCTCTCTCTCTCTCTCCTCTCCTCTCTCCTCTCATCTCTCCTCTCTCTCTCCTCTCTCTCCTCTCTCTCTCTCTCTCTCTCTCTCACTCTCTCACACTCTCTCACACTCTCACACTCTCTCACACTCTCTCACACTCTCTCACCTCCTTGATGTAGCTCTCCATGAAGGATCCCCGGAACATAGCGGCCATCCAGTCACAGCTGGAGATGAGCAGAGGCTTGTGGGCTGGCAGGTAGCCATCGTCCAGGCGGAACACCACATCTAAAACCGGGGAGGGAAAAGAGCACTCATCTCGGAGTGAACCACAGAGTCGATGCTACAGAGGGGAAGACAGACGGACGGGGACACACAGAGATATACGCAGACAGACGCACACAGAAACAGAAACAGGTAGACAGACAGAGAGATAAATCGAAAGGTAGACAGCTCTATTTGACACAGGGTGCAAGGGAGGGAGAGGACAGGTCATAGTGCAAAGCAGAGTTGAGATACTAAGATTGAAACCTACATAGACTTTTGAAGCTGTCCAGATAGCTTGCACCCTATCTAACTACACTGTCTGTAAGAGCTCTGACTGTCGCTTTATTCTGTTTGGATGCTCAAGGAAGCAGTGTTGGGGAGTAGCTTGGTGGTAGTTGAACTAAATTCAAATCTTGGTAGTGTTTTCAGTTGTTAATTACTTATTTGCCATGTAGTGGTGTAGCTAACTACTGGAACTACACACTACTCTTTTTGCAAAAATAAAATATGGGTTAAGTAGGCAAGAATATACTTTGTTTTCCTCCATCAGACCGGCCTAATTCTCACTTCAAATGTTGTTTTTTTGTGTTTAATATGAGAAATTACATTCTGTTAACATCTGACTACAGAGTGAACTGTTCTTGCAATTTGTAGTCTATGATTTACATATGATAATTTTTCAGGAAGTAGTTTGGATGTAGTGAACTACTTTTTCAAAGTAAGTTTAGTTAAGTAAACTATATGTTTCTTAACGGTAGCTTTAGTGTAGCTTAACTTCTTCCAGTGTGAAGTAATTGGTAGCTTGGTAAACTATATTTTCAGACTAGCTTCCCCAACACTGCAAAGATGTCATTCTAAAAGAAAAGCAATCTAAGAAGAAACTAAACCAATCACAAGGCTGACCTATAGGCCTCGCTAATCTTTATGGGGCACAGAACCCACTAGAACGAGTAGGCTAAATCATATCTATTCAGGAGGTATATTGAAAAACGAATTCCCACGGAAACAGACACCATGACAACAATAGCAGGACTATGGTAGCCACCTGAAGGTAAAAGAGGCTACATGTACTTCAGAGATAGTATAGGACTCTCACCTTGTGGGAAATGCTACAGCCAACATGCACACAGACCGAAGGACCCAGACAGAAGTGATGCACAGAAACACATAGGAATGGGCCCGGCACACATAAGGACAAACGGAGAAAGCAGAAAATCTCAGCAACACCTATTTAGAGCGATGACATCAAATGGACTCATTTTATGGAGGATACACATAAACACACAGATATTGCATATAGGAAATAATAGCTAATGACCATAGATCCAGACATGTGAATCCATGGCAGAATACTGGAAGAACATGCTAAATGTACTGGGTACACACACATATGCACGCACACACACATACATATGGACGCAAGCATGCACACACACACACACACACACACACACACACACACACACACACATACACACACATGCACGCGTGCCCGCGCACACACACACACACACACACACTAGAGAATCTCTGATGACTCAGGTGAGCAGGTGAAGGCTGTGTGTACCGGCGAAGGTGCCCTTGCTAAGGCACTCTTTGATGCGGTTGGCTCGGCGGACGTGGAAGGCCTTGGTGATCTCCTGGTTCATGAAGCTCTCGTGGTTCAGCACGTTGGCCACCATCATCCTCAGGTCAAACACCTCCAGCAGCTCAGCGATGGTGGCCACCTGCATCAGATCCCCTCGGCCCTCGTCCAGACTGCCTGTGTACAGGTACTGCAGCACTGCCTGAAACCACCACAGTTAAAATGTGTTATGGTTATGATGACCAGTAGAGTGCACTCTTCAAAGTGCTCTAAGAAGATTATACAACCCTGGAGCAGTATTGGGAATGGGAACCTCACGGTGTAGCTGGTTTGGTATTAATACGGTGAGTAAGCAGATGCTATTATCCAAAGCGACTTGCAAGACTTGGTGTTGTTGCTGCTATCTGATCTAACCTGGAAGGGTTCTTCCTGTATGAGGCCGTCCATGGAGACTACGGTCATGAGGCGAGGTCGCCCTGTCTCGGGGTCAGCTACGTGCTCCAGGTACACACTCAGGAAGCCCCTCCCCCAGCCCGAAAGGCCACGGCCGGCCCCCAGGGGCCCCACGGAGCACTGGCTCCTGGCGGGGAGGGCGTTATCACTTTTGGAAGTCTTCAGGGAGCCCTGCTGGAGCATGGGTGGCCGTTTGAGTCCCCTGGCTACCCCCTCCCCCTCATTATCGATGTCCAAGCTCTTAGTGCGCCCTGCCTGCTCTTTGGCTCCTCTCCTGCTCTGCTCCTCCTCCTCTCCGCTCTCAGCCCACTCCTCTCCCTCCCAATCCGACTCGATGGCCAGCAGATCCAGGGTGAAGAGGTCGTAGAACTTGGAGCAGGAGGTGGCCAGGTAGACTTTGTGTGCGAAGACGCGCGTGGCGCCGCCCTGGAGTAGGAAGAGGACATCGGCGCACAGTGGCTGGCAGAAGAGGGAGTCGGGGGCTTCTCCGTCGATGGGAGGTGGGTCGGGGATGCCCACCACAGGGCGCGGGGGCCGGGGGGGCAGGAAGGGGGCCTGGAGGAGGGGCCGCTGGACTCTCTTTAGGTGGGACTTCCAGAACTGGAGGTGGCGGCGGGAGATGAGAGCGGAACGGATGGCGTTGTCGAACACATCCTTGACCCCAAACTGGGCCACGATGCTGGTCTCGTAGTAGGGAATGCCCAGCTCCTTGGCCACCTCATGCCCTCTCTCTGGAGGCAGGATGTCTGTGGGCTTGATGGGTCTGAGCACAACGGGGAGGGGAGAGGGTTAGGGCATTAGCAGAGTGGTAGGTCTCTAATTAAAGGATTGTGCTGAGTTTGTATGAGTCAAGTGTTTCAGAAGACAACAAGGACAGAAGCTATGGACAGACAGTAGGTGAGACAGGTATGTTTGCGTTTCAGTCAAATGCTGCACATCCTGCCAATAGCTTTGATGGGACTGCTGCAGTTAATGTCGCCCCGTGTCATGAGCATGGATGATGGTGGTCTTACTTGGCCAGGGGTCTGCGGGCGCGGTTCACGGCCTCCAGGTCGGCGTAGCGCAGGTCCAGCTGGCAGCCCACCAGGATGATAGGGGTACGGGGGCAGAAGTGCTTGATCTCAGGGTACCACATGGTGCGGACGTGACGCAGGGAGTTGGGGTTGGCCAGGGAGAAACACAGCACCACCACGTCAGACCTGTACCACGCACAGAAAAGACAGCGGGAGAGAGAGAGTTGGAAAAAGGAGAGAGGGTAATGTCGGAGAGAGAGAGAGCTGGAGGTCAATTCCTGTCTGAGGTTCATATGAGAAGAGTCTGCTGCTAGGCATAGTGTATATGGATGGCGACACTGAGCAGGCTGGGCTGTGGGGTCATGGAGTTGTGTGTGTCTGGTATACAGGAAGCCTCTGAGGATGTGAAGTGTCCCCCCCACCTCCCCCAAGGCAGCCAAGGCCACAGAGAGGGACTAATAACAGAGCAACACACACTAGCTACAGTACAGCAGTACTTATTTCCTCAGCCAGTCATTGTGTTAGGCCAGGCAGACAACAGGACTTAAGGCTGTTCTCCACAACTACTGTCTCTGAGGCATGTGTGGCTTCCCATGTGTGAATGAATGATGTCATCAGCTACTACGTAACCGGAACAGCACTAAGTGAGCCTCTCCACTGCCCTGCTTGCAGACTGAACAGAACACTGATCTAGTGGCTATGGAAATGGACTTCAGTAAAGATACATATATTAATTGTTATGTTTTATAGGGATTAATCAGGAGCCGAAACATGGAATTTACTAAATACATCAGCGTGATTCTTATCAATAAGGCTAACTGTCACGGTTTCGGCCGAGGCTGCCTCTCTTCCTTGCTCGGGCAGGCTTCGGCGTTCGTCGTCTCCGGAATACTAGCTGCCACCGTTGTATGTTTCTATGTTCGTTTGCTTTTGTCTGATTGTTGTACACCTGTTATCGTTTAGTGTAATTAGTGTCCTATAAGTTCTCGTTGTGTTTGTCTAGTGTTTGTGTGTGATTGTTTTACTGTCGTGCCGGTAGGCTGGATTTCTACTGTTTGCTCGGTTGAGCTATATTCTCCATTGTTTGGAGTGTTTTTGTCGCACCTGTTAGTGCGCCCGTTATTTTTGCCTACGTGCGGAGTCTCGCCTCAGGGCGTTTGTTTGTGATTGTTTTCGTGTGCATCAACTAAAGTCTGTTGGACTAACGTTCTGCGTCCTGCGCCTGATTCCACCACCACACCCACCTACATCTACCTTGACAGAATCACACACCAACACTAGACAAACACAACGAGAACTTATAGGACACTAATTACACTAAACGATAACAGGTGTACAACAATCAGACAAAAGCAAACGAACATAGAAACATACAACGGTGGCAGCTAGTATTCCGGAGACGACGAACGCCGAAGCCTGCCCGAGCAAGGAAGAGAGGCAGCCTCGGCCGAAACCGTGACACTAACTTGTTTTTTCACAACATGGTCAGATCAAAAAATAAATAAATGTTATTAAAGATAGAAATAAAATATGAAACATTAGGGGTATGAGTTCTGCTGAAACGTTCCTGTTCGAAAGAGTCAACTGGGTATGAACACTAAGTAAACACTACTCATATTTCTTTAGTTCAGGGTTGGTCGACTTTGATGGGGGTGGGGGCCACAAAACATCAGAACTCATCATGAGGGTCTGCAGTGACTCACGGGCCATGGGCAGAGGCAAACATGTATAGTTGTACAGGTAATTTCCTGCAATTCTACACATTTTGCTAAAAGTGGAGAGAAATGTTTGCAGTTTTTAAATATGATATCTGAGTGAGAGTGACTAACAAAATCAATGGGGGGCCTCCCGGTCGGTAATTCGACAATGATTACTACAAGTTTAGATAGCTGGCTAGACTAACTTACCAATCTAAAAAATGTTAGCTGACATGGGCTAATTAAGTGATTGTCAGTGACTGACATAACAAGAAGAAAACTGCTGATGCAGAACCACATTTCTAAGATTGCACCCTGTGTATTCTACTATTCTAACTCAAGTTTTTTATTTTTTATTATTGATCCGCAGGCCTACAAAAGGGGGGCTGCGCTGTGCACAGCCAACATGCTAGACTCTAGCAGCTAGATAGAGTACTTGTGGGCCAAACAGGCAACAGAATAACACAGGTTCCATACACCTTATCTTAACGTCTACTAATAATATGTAACCTAGAAAAGATAACGCACACACACACACACCCGCACACACACACACACACACACACACACTCACGCACAGGAATTTCCATTAGCACCCTGGCAAAGGGTCATTACCATGGCTCAGACTGCTTTTAATCTACAGGTAACTGCCAAAATAAAGGAAACACCAACATACAGTGTCTTAATATGGCGTTGGGCCACCATGATACGGCAGAACAGCTGCAATACACCTTGGAATAGATTCGACAAAAGTCTGGAACTCTATTAGAGGCATGCGACACCATTCTTCCACGAGAAATTCCATCATTTGGGGTTTTGTTGATGGAGGTGGAAAACGCTGTCTCATGTGCCGCTCCAGAGTCTCCCATAAGAGTTCAATTGGGTTGAGATCTGGTGGCTGAGACGGCCATGGCATATCGTTTATGTTCATGCTCATGAAACCATTCAGTGACCATTCGTGCCCTGTGGCTGGAGTCATTGTCATCCTATGGGGGCATAGCCATGGTAGCCAAAACAATGGCCTGCTCAGCATTTTTATACATGACCCTAAGCATGATGGGATGTTAATTGCTGAATTAACTCAGGAACCACCTGCTTTCAATATACTTTGTATCCCTCATTTACTCAATTGTTTCCATTATTTTGGCAGTTACCTGTATGTTAGTGTGTACGTGCCTTTGCCCTCTTTGTCAAGCCACACTACAAAGGTCAGCAGGGCTGTTAGCTATCCTCATGTAACCAGAGTGTTTGGTGTTTTTACAGGACATAGAACGAGGCTGAGATCAAACTCCTGACTGACTGGCTGACTGCTCAGTGTATACACAACCCAGCAGAGATCCCCTCGACACACACTTTTCACTGTTATTAAAGATCATGCAGGCGCTACGTCACCCCCTTATGCACTGACATAAGGGTTAAATAAACTCACCTATTCAGTCTATGGAACGACATAGTCATTAGTCAATCATATGCCAGCTTCTTTAGAGCCATCTACAAATACATGACACAATACATGATCAAATAAAGTCTATCAGATAGTGTTGTACACAGAGGACATGTGAATGTGCCTATAGGCAGCTGATTGTTAGATAAGGCTGCATGCATGGTGGCATGTCTATCTGATAGTGAGTTTAGGGCCAGAGGTTGAGTACAACAGCACCCAGACAGACGGGCAGACAGACGGGCAGACACAGAACAGCTGATCGGGCAGTGTCTCTAATCAGCTGACTACAGGCTGACTGAGCACACACACACACACACACAGAGTCATTGACCATTTAAAATGCACACGTACACAGCTTCACACACACACACACACACACACACACACACACACACACACACACACACACACACACACACACACACACACACACACACACAGTCTGTCACTCAAAAACAGATCCACATAGTGACAGGGTGACTTGTTATACAAACCCAGCCCCCACCTAACCTGCTCAGTGACTGTGTGTGACTGTGTGTGACTGTGTGTGACTGTGTGTGACTGTGTGTGACTGTGTGTGACTGTGTGTGACTGTGTGTGTGGATTAAGCCCTGCTAGCTGGTTAGGTGAGGATCAGTGCTATGTCAGAGGCTCATTAAGGTCTGAATGGTCTGGGTGAGGGGGATATAAAGATGATTCCATCATGTCTGTCTGCTAGAGGAGAGGTATATTGTATCTAGCTATCAGAACACAAAACACATCAATGATGGTAACCATATCAGCCACTATGACTGTGTGTGTGTGTGTGACACAGTGTGTGTGTGTGTGTGTGTGACAGTGTGTGTGTGTGTGTGACAGTGTGTGTGTGACAGTGTGTGTGTGTGTGTGTGTGTGTGTGTGGGGGGGGGGGGGTTATTAGGTCAGTTACCAGAATCTGGCTGTATAACCCTGAGCCCAAAGTAGCCACAGCCTTCCAGTGTGTGTGTGTGTGTGTGTGTGTGTGTGTGTGTGTATCTCCTCACCTGCCGTAAGCAAAGCGTCTGTCTTTGTGATGGTCACCGAAGGTGTCCCATAGTCTCAGAGAGACACTGACCTCATCCACCACATCCCTGGACCTCTCCAACACCTAGAGGCACAAACACACATCACAACACTGAATGGAAGAAGTGTGTGTGTGTGTGTGTGTATGTGTATGTGTGTGTGTGTGTGTGTGTGTGTGTGTGTAGGTGTGTGTGTAGCGTGCATCCATGCCCACCTCCTGGCACACGCGGTACTGGTCGATGGCCCAGACAGTTGGCACGTGGGTGGCGAGCAGCTGGTACTGTGTGAGGGTAGCATTGCAGGCACGGGCACAGATGAGCCTGGTCTTGCCCACCGCATTGTCCCCTACCACCACACATTTAATGGTTTCCACATTGGGCCGCTCATAGTCTGTGTCTAAATCCATGGAGAGGGCCCTGAGAGAGAGAGGAGGGAGGGAGAGAGAGAGAGAGGAGAGAGAGAGAGAGGGGAGAGAGGGGAAAAAGAGAGGGGGAGAATGGGGGGATAACGTTGCCGGTTTTTTCTCTCTCTCTCTCTCTTCTCTCTCTCTCTCTCGTCTCCTTCTCGCTCCTCCCCTCTCCGCTCTTTTTCCTCTCCCCTCTCTCTGTTCTCTCTTCCCTTTTTGCTCTCGCTCTTCCGCTCTTCTTTTCTTTTCTCGCCTCTCTCTCTCTTCTTTTTCTCTCTCCCTCGGCTTCTCCCCCCTCTCCTCCTCTTTTACCCCTCTCTCTCCTCTTTGCTTTCTCCTTCTTCTCTCTCCCTTCTTTCTTTTCCTTCGATTATGGTTAAAATATAGCGAGGGTTTTGGGGCTTTTTTATAAGGTTGGCTTCCTTCTCCTCTTTCTTTTTTCTTTTTTCTCCCTCGACGGTTTTTTCCTCTCCCTTTCCTCTCCCTTTTTTCTCTCTTGCGCTTTCCTTCTTTTCTCCTGTCTCCTCCTTTTGGGGAGAAGAGAGAGGAGGGGCATAGGAAAGACCTCCCTTTTTTTTTTCCCCTTTTTCCCCCTTTTTTTTTAAAAAAATTTTTTTTAAAAAAAAAATTTTTGTTTATCCCCCCCCCCTTCCCCCCCAAATTTGGTAAAACGGAAAAAACCCCCCAAAAAAACCCCTTACCTTACGACACTCCTCCCAAAAAATCCTTCAGATGAAAACATTGTACGGGAGGGGAGAAATAAAAGACCTGACCCTATTTATGTCATAACAAAATTTGGAAAAGGAAAAGAGGTGAAAAAGGGGGAGATAAGAGAGAAGGAGAATAGATTATAAATATAGAGACAGAAAGCTATGAAAGACAGGCTAAGAAAGGTAAAGAGAAGTATATCCCTTACTCTCCTTCTTCTCTCCTATCTCCCTCCTCTCCTCTCCGCCTCTCTCCCCTCCTGAGAAGATATATATAGAGAATATGAATAGATTAAAATACAGAAGTGATAACCATAAGAGTATATATAGAGCGAGATAGAGAAAAATCTAATATTCTATATACACATGATAATATAATATATATGATATCATATATAGAGATATACATAGCCTTTATAATATACATAATATGACATTTTGAAATGTCTTTATTCTTTTTTTAAACTCTGAGTTAATGTTTACTATTAATATTTTATTTTTTATTATTTCACTTTTGTTTACTTATCTACTTCACTTGCTTTGGCAATGTTTAACAAACACACAAACACACGTTTCCTTCTTCCCATGCCAATAAAGCCCTTAAATTGAATTGAAATTGAACTTGAGAGAGAGAGAGAGAGAGAGGAGAGAGAGAGAGAGAGAGAGGAGAGAGAGAGATAGGAGAGAGATAGAGAGAGAGAGAGAGAGAGAGAGAGAGAGGAGAGAAAGCGAGGACAGCATTTCTACAGGGATTGGCCTACCCTTCTAGCCTCCTCTTCCTCTCAGGCAGGCAGGAGTTAAGCTAAACCACTAGCGCCTGCAGCTAGTGTACACAAACACAGCCCCATGATCCACACTCCACAGACAGTCAGCATTGAAAGGAACACATGGCCATGCCCAGAGTGGTCCATGATAAACCAGGCCACAGCCCCAGTGGCAGCCTTTCGGATGAGTGAATGAGTTTGCTCCATAGAGAATGGCAGAGGACTTTTTGTATTCGTCCCATTCTAGCGTCTGTGAGTGCACGGGCAGCACCATTGAAGCCATCTCCATTTTGAAGTAGTCCATTTTCTTATTCTACTACTTCTATGAGTTGGTAAATAAACTGAAAGGGTGCACACTGCCACCTGGAGGGTGTTGTCTGAACAGGTAGAAAGCCAAGGTTGGCTATTTACTGCCACATGCAGTTATGGAATGTTTGCTCACGAGTATAATTCATTGGCTGATTCCTCCTGATGACCTGGATGGAATTATGTGATCCTTCCTTAACCCATAGGAAATCCCACCCAGGTGACTACTTAAAAATGGTCAAAGTCCTCAATGGCGCTGCCCATGATTAAACAAGCTTTTGGGCACTAGAGCCCACTACCATTCTCTATGGTTCGCTCTCATCTGCTGAGGGGCACTCATTAAAAGATCCCCACCCCCTCCCGCCAACCCTCTTCCTACCCTCCCTCTCTTTCTCTCTCTCTCTGGAGAGTCTGCTGAGGCCAAGATTGCCTCCTCTTTCAAAACAGAAAGAGGAACAGGAGGCAGTAGCAGTTAGAGAGACAGTAGTGTCTGAACAGACGTCAGAGCTCTGTCTCGGCCTGTCCTGAAACTCTAGTCTAGATCCACAGCAGCAGAACAGTAAAAGAGCATTTCTGCCCTAGGACAAAAGGAAGTGGTGATGTACAGACAGAGGCCAGACCACTCGACCTGGTTCAACAGACAGATGGTTCTGAATAGCAAGAAGTTTCCCAGACACTTGTCTTGTCTAGTATTTAACAGAGAATGCTAGGAAAGAGATGATTCATGTGATTTGGTCACACATATAGGACAGGACAGTGTCTCCATAGGCTCCCCTATCAGAGTCAGCACACCAACCAACTTCCATCAAGAGCTTGGCACGTAGGTGATCGCATAGTTCCAATGACTTCCTCTTAACGCCATAAATTCACAGCCCTGTGAAAAGCTTACTTTAAGCTTCTTGCCTTAAAGCTGGAATCCTTAACTGCCACGTCTGTTTGGGATATTACAACAACAAAGAAGTTACTGCAAACAGTGAAACAAACCCTGTTTTTCCCCCCTTGGACATCATTGCACGCGCGATAGAACAGAAGAACATGCACTGCAATTCTTTTTAAATACACTGTTCAATGTATCTCACCTCCGTTTAGTACACAAAACAAAAACAAAGATGCTGGGGCGACAGTGGCGCTGTTCTTAGACGTTTGTACACAACACACAAATCAAGGCTGTCAATATTCTTTTTTTGCAACATGACATCCTGCAACATTATTTTGTTTAAATATAATTTGATCTCTGAGAAATTAAGCTAATTGACTGCACCCAAATTGGCAATTTTAATTTATAGAATTAATATAATATTCAATAAATATAGTAGCTAATTTCCAATTTCGAACAAACTTTTTTCTAACAATATGAGGAATCCAAAGAAATGGTCAAAAGCAACCCACGGACCCCCCCACACCCCATGCCAATCCCAACCCAACAACAAGCAGGCCTAATACAGTATCAGTTCTCTATGTCTGACAAGTAGTATTGCTGTCATACCTTGTCAATAGACTGCTTACAGGGTAAGGAAACCAATGTAATTTTTTAATTTGGGTGAACTATCCATTTAACATCAACTAATAGCAGGAACAACACCATCTAGTGGTCAGAACCTGGAAATATCAGGATGTAGGATGGGACATAAACCCAACAACTTCAATGACTAAATACTCGGGGGGAGAAAACTACACCAAATTGACTGAGAATACATTACATAGAGTTGCTTGCGAAGGTATTCACCCCCTTGGCATTTTTGCTTTTTTGTTGCCTTACAACCTGGAATTAAAATTGATTTTATGGGGGGGTTGTATCATTTCATTTACACAACATGCCTACCACTTTGAAGATGCAAAATATTTTTTATTTTTTATTGTGAAACAAACAAGAAATAAGACAAAAAAAGAAAAGAAAACTTGAGTGTGCATAACTATTCACCCCCCCAAAGTCAATACTTTGTAGAGCCACCTTTTGCAGCAATTACAGCTGCAAGTCTCTTGGGGTATGTCTCTATAAGCTTGGCACATCTAGCCACTGGGATTTTTGCCCATTCTTCAAGGCAAAACTGCTCCAGCTCCTTCAAGTTGGATGGGTTCCGCTGGTGTACAGCAATCTTTCAGTCATACCACAGATTCTCAATTGGATTGAGGACTGGGCTTTGACTAGGCCATTCCAAGACATTTAAATGTTTCCCCTTAAACCACTCAAGTGTTGCTTTAGCAGTATACTTAGGGTCATTGTCCTGCTGGAAGGTAAACCGCCATCCAAGTCTCAAATCTCTGGAAGACTGAAACAGGTTTCCCTCAAGAACTTCCCTGTATTTAGCGCCATCCATCATTCCTTCAATTCTGACCAGTTTCCCAGTTCCTGCCAATGAAAAGAGTACCTTCTTCCATATGTTTGGGGAGTCTCCCACATGCCTTTTGGTGAACACCAAACGTGTTTGCTTCTTTATTTCTTTAAGCAATGGCTTTTTTCTGGCCACTCATCCGTAAAGCCCAGCTCTGTGGAGTGTACGGCTTAAAGTGGTCCTATGGACAGATACTCCAATCTCCGCTGTGGAGCTTTGCAGCTCCTTCAGGGTTATCTTTGGTCACTTTGTTGCCTCTCTGATTAATGCCCTCCTTGCCTGGTCCGTGAGTTTTGGTGGGCGGCCCTCTCTTGGCAGGTATGTTGTGGTGCCATATTCTTTCCATTTTTTTATAATGGATTTAATGGTGCTCCGTGGGATGTTCAAAGTTTCAGATATTTTTTTATTACCCAACCCTGATCTGTACTTCTCCACAACTTTGTCCTGACCTGTTTGGAGAGCTCCTTGGTCTTAATGGTGCCGCTTGCTTGGAGGTGCAAAGGGGGTGAATACATATGCACGCACCACTTTTCCGTTATTAATTTTTTATAATTTTTTGAAAAAAAGTTATTTTTTTATGTTCACTTCACCAATTTGGACTATTTTGTGTATGTCCATTACATGAATTCCCAAAAAAATCCATTTAAATTACAGGTTGTAATTCAACAAAATAGGAAAAACACCAAGGGGGATGAATACTTTTGCAAGGCACTGTAGGATGAAGAAACAATACTCCAAGCCGCAGCTCCGTAGTACTTGTCAAACATAGAGAACTGACACTCATTGCTGTGGTGGGATTCCTCATGTCTAAGTCATTGTTAGAAAACACTTTGGTCCATATCGGATGGTACTATTTTATTGAATATTATCTGAATCCTTCAAATTAAAATGGCCAATTTGGATGCAATCAATTAGCTTAAATTTCTCAGAGATCAAATTACATTTCAACTAAATAATGTTACTAACAACAAATAATTTATGTTTCTAACAACAGAAATTATTTCAGAACAATCTGGTGTCGAAATCCTCTTTCTCGTGCTTTTTGAGGTGGACCTACCCAGCAGAGAGAGAGAGTGAAAGTTTGTTAGGCTCCCGTGCTTCTCTGAAGGTGATATTGATACGGCCAGACATGAACAGACCAGACCTGCAGCCCTGTCCTACCACTCCGACCTATCCAAGGTCCCATAAATAGGCTGTTTGAAAGATTCATAGGCTTATTATTGTTCCATTGACGTAGATGCACTTCATCCCAGCCCTGACAGACAGTAGCGGCTAAAAATGGCATCCATTCATCGGACACACGAGACGACGGGCAGCCGGCTATTCAGATTGGCTATCCACCCCCCCCCCCCCTCCACCAACTCCTGCTCCTCTCGTCACATACATTGTATGTCCCTGTTGCTACAGATCGAGCCAATATTGCTACAGGCCTAAACAAACAATTTCAGGTCTTGTTTAAAAGCTACAACAAACAGTGTGTTTCCTTTGGAATATTACATCTCTGTTCATAAGTCCTAGAGCTGTCAAAGCCACTGGGCAGCAGGTGTTTAGCTGGGCCAAAACAAATGATACTGTACCTTAACCTTAGTCTATGTGAGTAGCGGAGGGAGTGACCGAACTCTGAGAGATGCAGAGGAACTGAGGGAGTAGTAGCTGTCTATCTAGACTTTATCTGTGCTCCCTCCCTACTTTTCCCTATGTCTTTGTCTTCCTGAGACACACAGTCAGTCATGTACTGTAGGTCTACGTGAGTCAGTTAGTAGTGTGATAGAGAGAGCAGTAAAAGTTACTACGGTCTATCCTTATCTAACAGTTCTTCACTTCAAGGACAATTCCACCCAGAAACTATATTTTGGTATTTGTTTCATTAGTGCAAAATGTTTTGCATGTCAGCAATCAAGTTTTCAAGATATTTAATTTTCAAAATACATAAATACAGCCAGAATGATGCATTTTGCATCATATGATGCAAAATGCATAATCCCGGGTGTATTTATGTACACTACCAGTCAAAAGTTTGGACACACCCACTCATTCAAGGGTTTTTCTTTATTTTTACTATTTTCTACATTGTAGAATAATAGTGAATACATCAAAACTATGAAATAACACATATGGAATCATGTAGTAACCAAAAAAGTGTATATTTGAGATTCTTCAAATAGCCACCCTTTGCCTTGATGACAGCTTTGCACACTCTTGGCATTCTGTAGAAAATAGAAAATAGTAAAAATAAAGAAAAACCCTTGAATGAGTAGGTGTGTCCAAACTTTTGACTGGTACTGTATTTTGAAAGATAAATAATTTGAAAACTTGATTGCTGACATGCAAAACATTTTGGGACTATATCAACAATGGACTAATGAAATAAATACCAAAAGATAGTTTTTGGGTGGAATATGTCTTTAATTTGCGTCAATGTGTCACATTAGCAAACCCTGTAAGTCACAGCTTTCTCACCACTGGCCCATGCTTGTTTGTATGTTTATATTTGAGAGTGTGTCTGCATGTGTAAAAATATACAAAGGCCTGTGTGTGTGTGTGTGTGTGTGTGTGTGTGTGTGTGTTTGGGGTTAAGGGGCCCGTGGGTCTGGTGTGTAAAAAGGCTTAGGCAGGCTGTGATGCACGGAGAGATGAAACTGGGAGCAGAGGACAGTTTCTCAGGGGATCAGACACAGGATCCCTGGAGCACTACACCATCGCTCTGAGGCACAGCATCCACTACGCAGAGGTCAGTGAACACATACGCACGCACACACACACACATTTTACATTTTAGTCATCTAACAGACGCTCTTATCGAGACCAATCACAATTAGTGTGTTCATCTTAAGGTAGCTGAGACAACCAAATATCACAGTAACACACACACACACACACACACACACACACGGCTTGGCTGAGAGAGGCAGCAGAGGTAACAACACTGTGAGAGCAGTGTAGGGTTTCATTGCCAGCCAGTGACTGATACGGAGTAAAGCAGCAGTCTAGACACCCTCTGTTAGGTTGTTACCTGTACTACATGGAATGGAAACATCAGTGAACAGCAGACACACTGAGGAAGGTGTAAGCCAATACTTCAGGTGTGCTACTAAGACATGTTCCCCTTGAAAAAAGAACATGAAAAAAAATCAAAATATCTACTATCTCTCTACAGTGCCTTGCAAAAGTATTCATCCCCCTTGGCGTTTTTCTTATTTTGTTGCATTCCAACCTGTAATTTAAATTGATTTTTATTTGGATTTCATGTAATGGACATACACAAAATAGTCCAAATTGTTGAAGTGAAATGAAGAAAATAACTTGTTTCAAAGAATTCTAAAAAATTAATAATGGAAAAGTGGTGCGTGCATATGTATTCCCCCCCTTTGCTATGAAGCCCCTAAATAAGATCTGGTGCAACCAATTACCTTCAGAAGTCACATAATTAGTTAAATAAAGTCCACCTGTGTGCAATCTAAGTGTCACATGATCTGTCACATGATCTCAGTATATATACACCTGTTCTGAAAGGCCCCAGAGTCTGCAACACCACTAAGCAAGAGGCACCTCCAAGCAAGCGGCACCATGAAGACCAAGGAGCTCTCCAAACAGGTCAGGGACAAAGTTGTGGAGAAGTACAGATCAGGGTTGGGTTATAAAAAAATATCTGAAACTTTGAACATCCCACGGAGCACCATTAAATCCATTATTAAAAAATGGAAAGAATATGGCACCACAACAAACCTGCCAAGAGAGGGCCACTCACCAAAACTCACAGACCAGGCAAGGAGGGCATTAATCAGAGGGGCAACAAAGAGACCAAAGATAACCCTGAAGGAGCAGCAAAGCTCCACAGCGGAGATTGGAGTATCTGTCCATAGGACCACTTTAAGCCATTACTTAAAGAAAAAAATAGGCAAACACGTTTGGTGTTCGCCAAAAGGCATGTGGGAGACTCCCCAAACATATGGAAGAAGGTACTCTGGTCAGATGAGACTAAAATTTATTTTAATTCCAGGTTGTAAGGCAACAAAATAGGAAAAATGCCAAGGGGGGTGAATACTTTCGCAAGCCACTGTATATCAAGGCCTTTTTTACCTCTATATTATGGGGTTGTTTCACCTTGATCTAAGAATGGAAAAGTGAGTAACGAAAGGTGTTAGGACAGGAACAAGTACAAGAAATCCCGCTACGACCTCCGCAGAGTCACCATGTGGTAGGGGCTACAGTCCATTACGGATGACAAAGGAAGACCCAGCTGTGATCTGCCCAACGATGCCTCTCTACCAGATGAACTCACTGCATTTTATTCACGCCTTGACAATAACAAGACTGTACTGTGCGTGAGGGCCCTCACCGACCCAGAGGACTCGGTGATCTCGCTCTCCGAGGCCGACGTGAGTAAGGTCTTTAATCAGGTCAACAAACGCTAGGCCAGGGGGCCGGACAATATTCCAGGGCGCGTTCTCAAGGAAATGCAGATCAGCTTGCAGCCATATTCACGGTCATTTTCAACCTCTCCTTGTCCCAGTCTGTAATCCCCACGTCTTAAGATGACCACCATCATTCCTGTTCGCAAGAACTCTAAGGCTTCATGGCACAATGACTACCACCCTGTAGCACTGACATATGTAATCATGAAGTGCTTCGAAAGGCTGGTTATGGCCCACATCAACTCCATCATCCCAGACACCCTAGACCCACTCCGATTTGCATACCACCCTAACAGATCCATAGATGACGCAATCTTAATTGCACTCCACACTGCCCTCACCCACCTAGATAGAGGAATACCTATGTGAGAATGATGTTCATTGACTACAGCTCAGCGTTCAACACCATTGTACCCTCCAAGCTCGTCACCAAGCTTAGGACCCTGGCATTGAACAACTCCCTCTGCAACTGGATTCTGACTTCCTGACGGGTCGCCCCCAGGTGGTGAGGGTAGGCAACATCACCTCTGCCATGCTGACCCTCAACACGGGGGCTCCACAGGGGTCTGTGCTTAGTCCCCTCTTGTATTCCATGTTCACCCACGACTGCGTAGCCACGCACAACTCCAACACTATCATCAACTTTGCTTACGTCACGACATTGGTAGGCCTGATCACCGGCGACGATGAGACAGCCTACAGGGAGGAGGTCAGTGACCTGGCAGTGTGGTGCCAGAACAACAACCTCTCCCTCAACGTCTGTAAGACCAAGGAGCTGATCGTGGACTAGAGGAAACGCCCCACATCGACAGGGCTGCAGTGGAGGGGGTCGAGAGCTTCAATGGTCCACTCAAACGCGCACAGTCGTGAAGAAGGCGCAACAGCGCCTCTTCCCGCTCAGGAGGATGAAAAGGTTTGGCATGGGCCCTCAAATCCTACAAAAATTATACAGCTGAACCATTGAGAGCATGTTGACTGGCTGCATCACTGCTTGGTATGGCAACAGCACCGCCCTCGATCGCATGGCGCCACAGAGGGTGGTGCGGACAGCCCAGGACATCACTGGGGCCGAGCTCCAATAGATCCACAGACGATGCAATCGCCATCGCACTGCACACTACCCTATCCCATCTGGACAAGAGGAATACCTATGTAAAAAATAAATAATAATAATACTAAAAAAAATATGTATTCACTAACTGTAAGTCGCTCTGGATAAGAGCGTCTGCTAAATGACTAAAATGTAAATGTAAGAATGCTGTTCATTGACTATAGCTCAGCATTCAACACCATAGTACCATCCAAGCTCATCATTAAGCTCGGGCCATGGGTCTGAACCCCGCCTGTGCAACTGGGTCCTGGACTTCCTGACGGGCCACCCCCAGGTGGTGAAGGTAGGAAACAACACCTCCACTTCGCTGATCCTCAACACTGGGGCCCCACAAGGGTGTGTACTCAGCTCCCTCTCACTCAACGTCAACAAAACAAATGAGCTGATCGTGGACTTCAGGGAACAGCAGAAGGAGCACGCCCCATCCACATTGACGGGACCGCAGTGGAGAAGGTAGAAAGCTTCAAGTTCCTCGGCATACACATCACTGACAATCTGAAATGGTCCACCCACACAGACAGTGTGGTGAAGAAGGAGCAACAGTGCATCTTCAACCTTAGGAGGCTGAAGAAATTTGGCCTAAACCCTCACAAACTTTTACAGATGCACAATTGAGAGCATCTTGTCGGGCTGTATCACCGCCTGGTACGGCAACTGCACCGCCCGCAACCGCAGGGCTCTCCAGAGGGTGGTGCAGTCTGCCCAACACATCACCGGGGGCAAACTACCTGCCCTCCAGGACACCTACAGCACCCGATGTCACAGAAAGGCCAAAAAGATAATCAAGGACACGGCCTGTTCATACCCACTATCATCCAGAAGGCGAGGTCAATACAGGTGCATCAAAGCTGGGACCGAGAGACTGAAAAACAGCTTCTATCTCAAGGCCATCAGACTGTTAAATATCCATCACTAGCATGCTTCCACCCAGTTACGCAACCCTGCACCTTAGAGGCTGCTGCCCTATATACATAGACCTGGAATCACTGGCCACTTTAATAATGGAACACTAGTCACTAATAATGTTTACATACTGCTTTACTCATCTCATATGTACACTACCGTTCAAAAGTTTGGGGTCACTTAGAAATGTCCTTGTTTTCCATGAAAACATACATGAAATTAGTTTGAATAGGAAATATAGCTAAATGAATGGGAAATGTAGTAATTGTCCTGAAGCACCTCCAACAAGTTGGATTGGCTTGATGGGCACTTCTTACATACCATACGGTCAAGCTGCTCCCACAACAGCTCAATAGGGTTGAGATCCGGTGACTGTGCTGGCCACTCCATTATAGACAGAATACCAGCTGAATGCTTCTTCCCTAAATAGTTATTGCATAGTTTGGAGCTGTGCTTTGGGTCATTGTCCTGTTGTAGGAGGAAATTGGCTTCAATCAAGCGCCGTCCACAGGGTATGGCATGGCGTTGCAAAATGGAGTGATAGCCTTCCTTCTTCAAGATCCCTTTTACCCTGTACAAATCTCCCACTTTACCACCACCAAAGCACCCCCAGACCATCACATTGGCATCAAGCACTCCTCCAGTATCTTTTCATCTGCATCTCACAAATGCTCTTATTTGTGATCCGAACACCTCAAACTTTGATTCGTCTGTCCATAACACTTTTTTCCAATCTTCCTCTGTCCAGTGTCTGTGTTCTTTTACCCATCTTAATCTTTTATTTTTATTGGCTAGTCTGAGATATGGCTTTTTCTTTGCAACTCTGCCTAGAAGGTCAGCATCCCGGAGTCGCCTCTTCACTGTTGACGTTGAGACTGGTGTTTTGCGGGGTACTATTTAATGAAGCTGCCAGTTGAGGACCTGTGAGGCGTCTGTTTCTCAAACTAGACACTCTAATGTATTTGTCCTCTTGCTCAGTTGTGCACCGGGGCCTCCCACTCCTCTTTCTATTCTGGTTAGAGCCAGTTTGCACTGTTCAATGAAGGGAGTAGTACACAGCGTTGTACGAGATCTTCAGTTTCTTGGCAATTTCTATGTAGATATTCCATAAAAAATCAGCCGTTTCCAGCTACAATAGCCATTTACAATAGTAACAATGTCTACACTGTAGTTCTGATTAATTTGATGTTATTTTAAATGGACAAAAAAAATGCTTTTTTTTCTAAAACAAGGACATTTCTAAGTGACCCCAAACTTTTGAACGGTAGTGTATATACTGTATTCTATTCTACTGTATTTTGGTCAATGCCACTCCGACATTGCTCGATCTAATATTTATATATTTCTTAATTCCATTATTTTACTTTTAGATTTGTGTATTGTTAGATACTACTGCACTGTTGGAGCTAGGAACACAAGCATTTCGCTACACACGAAATAACATCTGCTAACTATGTGTATGTGACCAATAAAATTTGATTTGATTTAGTATTGGAACTGACCCTGTATATAGCTTTTTACTTTCTTGTGTTCTCATTTCTTATTTAGATTTCTTGTGTGTTTTTGTTCTACCTTATGTTATTTTTAGTGCTACATTGATATGGATTACTGCATTGTTGGGTTGCATGTGACATTAAAAACTTGAAACTTAGTTATTAGATGGGTGTGGCTCCATGTGAATGAGAATCCAGTTGTCGCTCTGGGGTGTAGTTTCCCCTAGGTACAGATCTAGGATCAGCTTCCCTTCCTCTAATCCTAACCTTAACCACTAGTGGGGAAAATGTGAAATGCAAAACTGACCCAAGATCAGTGTCTACGGGCAACTTCACCCTCCACCCCAGTTGCCTGTGACATTGACAGGCGTAAGACTGCAGTGAGAAGAACACTGTGACTAGATCTGCCTACTGCCCCCTCCATCCACACACCTCAACAGGCCTTCTGCTACACTCCGCCTGGCCATGGAGGAAACACACACACACACGCACGCCCGCTCTCACATCGTTCCACTCAATCAATCCCACACAAATAGAATATTGAACACATTCCAGGCTGGTTGGCCATCCCTAACCACTAGGAAACGTGTGTGCAGGGTGTCTATGCAGGTTCAGAACAGGCAAAGACAGCCTCATGCATATTTAGGAGTGTCACAGTACGGGTTTGGTTGGGTCAGTGCAGTGCAGGCTTTCAACTCAGCTCCCCACCTCTCCCAACGCTCCCTCCATTTCTCATTTTTCTACCTATCTCCTTTCTCTCTCGCTCTGCTCCATTACACAGCTATTCCCTCCCTGGGTGTTACTCTCTATCCTTAGTTTACTTATTCTTTTTCACACCCATTGCTCTCTCTCTCTACCCACTGTCCCTCCCTTCCTGGCTACCTTCTTTCTCCAAACTCCTCCCAGATCTCTCCAAACTCCTCCCAGATCCCTCCAAACTCCTCCCAGATCCCTCCAAACTCCTCCCAGATCTCTCCCTCCCTCCCAGTTATGCAACAGTTCGAATGGTAGCAGCCGCTCGGCCACAGTGCTCCATGAACCCGATTCCTCATCCTGCTCTTCCTCCCCCACCTCCTCCTCTTCCTCAGGGCTAAAGTTCACCCCAACACCATGACACAGCTGGCTGCCTGTAACATCCCCTCAGAGGAAGACAGCTACAGTCTGCTCCACGCATGCATACACACACTACAAACACAAATTCAACTCTGGTCACGAGCTCGCTAATTGTCTTCCTTCCAATGAAAATGACTGGCGATGGTAGCTAGATCGCTGATACTGTCGGCAAATGTGAACCCTAGGTTATTCATAAATAGAGAATGTGTAAGTGCGTGTCTGGGCATCTGTGTATGTGTGTGTGTGTGTGTGTGTGTGTGTGTGTGTGTGTGTGTGTGTGTGTGTGTGAGAGAATAAATAAAAGAGGGAGACAGTGGCTGCCACAGGCGAGGGTGGCACAAACTGGTTACTGTATATAAGGCGGTAGGTAGTCTGCTCTAGTCTACTGTAAACAGCCTGGCTGCTCTAGTCTACTGTAAACAGCCTGGCTGCTCTAGTCTACTGTAAACAGCCTGGCTGCTCTAGTCTACTGTAAACAGCCTGGCTGCTCTAGTCTACTGTAAACAGCCTGGCTGCTCTAGTCTACTGTAAACAGCCTGGCTGCTCTAGTCTACTGTAAACAGCCTGGCTGCTCTAGTCTACTGTAAACAGCCTGGCTGCTCTGGTCTACTGTAAACAGCCTGGCTGCTCTAGTCTACTGTAAACAGCCTGGCTGCTCTAGTCTACTGTAAACAGCCTGGCTGCTCTAGTCTACTGTAAACAGCCTGGCTGCTCTAGTCTACTGTAAACAGCCTGGCTGCTCTAGTCTACTGTAAACAGCCTGCCTGCTCTAGTCTACTGTAAACAGCCTGGCTGCTCTAGTCTACTGTAAACAGCCTGGCTGCTCTAGTCTACTGTAAACAGCCTGGCTGTAAACAGGTCCAGGGGAGAGGCAGGGGCACCTAGCTACAGTCTCCTATGTTATTAAACTGCCCTGGGCTTCTGACACACACACACACACGCGCTATAAGAACACACAGTACACACACAACACAAACATTTCTAACTGCATCCATCACAACAGACCTAATGGGTAGCTCTCGGCACTATGGGAGTGTGTCTGGGGATGGGTGGGTCTACTGCTTCAGTGCCTTGTAAACAGGACACTGCATCCTTCTCTGTCCTACTTCCTCCCTCTCCTCCTCCTTCATCTCTCTGCCCTTCATCGGCCAATCCATATCCTCCTAGGTTTCTCTCCCTCCCTCCCTCTCCTTCTCTCTCTCTCTCTTTCTGTCTCTCTCTCATGCCTTCCATCTTCCTCTTCGGTCGAGCCATATCCCCAGGGTTGACAATGTCTTAGCCAATGGCAATGTCTCGCCATGTCCTTCCATTATGGTGGTCCTCTGTAGCTCAGCTGGTAGAGCACGGCGCTTGTAACGCCAAGGTAGTGGGTTTGATCCCCGGGACCACCCATACACAAAAATGTATGCACGCATGACTGTAAGTCGCTTTGGATAAAAGCGTCTGCTAAATGGCATATTATTATTATTATTATTATTATTATCAATAGCTTCCATAGCTTCTGTTAGCAGCCTGAAAACACCAGACAGCCTTCTTTCTTACACAACTGACATTACTAACAGTGTTTCATAAGCTCCAGGTGCACATCACATGGCCAAAACATCACCTGGGACTACCACTGTTAGGTATATGTAAACACCAGAGACACTTGCACACAGGTCCGTGCACAGACCTTTCAGGGGGCAGGTGCTCAAAATGAGAAGCATTGCACTCACAACATGTACCAGGAAACCAACCACCCCCAAGAACACTGTTACTTTGGACTGCAGGATAAGTGTCACTCCTGTGTCACTCCTCTCAGCTCAGGCCTTCAACTCGGGTGCCTCTGCTCTGTTAGGGTTGGCAGTCTCAGACCCTGGCATTTGGCATGGCTCTGCCTGTCTGCCACACACTGCCCCAACGGCTTCTGTCTCATCGATCTCTCTCTCTCTCTCTCTCTCTCTCTCCAATTCAAAGGGCTTTATTGGCATGGGAAACACATGTTTACATTGCCAAAGAAAATGGAATAGACAATAATCAAAAGGGAAATAAACAAGTGAAACATTAGTGAACATTACACTCACAAAAGTTTTAAAAGAATATAGACATTTCAAATGTTATATTATTGGCTATGTACAGTGTTGTAACAATGTGCAAGTAGTTGAAGTATTAAAGGGAAAATCAATAAACAGATAAATATAGGTTGTATTTACAATGTTGTTTGTGCTCCACTGGTTGCCCGTTTCTCATGGCAACGGGCCACAGATCTTGATGCTGTGACTGCACACTGCTGTATTTCACCTAACAGATATGGAAGTTTATCGATGTTTGATTTGCTTTCAAATTCTTTGTGGGTCTGTGGGAAATATGTGTCTCTAATGTGGTCTCTCTCTCTCTGTCTGTCTGTGAATGCAGTAGCCAGTCAAGCCATACACTGCTGGCTGCCTCATCCATGTGGCTCAATGTAGCATGTTATGTCCTAACTTCTGACAGACAGAACAGGCCCTGGTCACTGTAATGACTTGCTTTGTCCCGTATTCTCTCTGCATACATATCATAAGAAATATAATGCAGATATAAGCTAAAGCTTGGCATTCAACGAGAGCAGCAGAGGATTCTTTTTTTTGTGCATGTTGTTAAATCGTACTTCCTGAATGCAGGGCCTAAGTAGATGCAATGTTATTTGTTTATTACATGTGTATAACGTATTTGGGGAAGATACTTCCTCTCACATCCTCACTAATAAAAAGTAACCTTTCCTCACAACACATTGGTTTTGGTCAACAGATAACGTGCCAAAGCATGTTTTCTAACAGCATCATTGGCAGACTTAAATTCGCGATTTGGAGTACTGACTAACTGAATCCTTGACAGAGTGGTAAAGAAACCTTGCGTAACCTAACCCTCTTAATGATCGGGATCACTATTACAGGCCGTGTGTGTGTGTGTGTGTGTTTGTGTGTGTGTGTGACATCATCATCCACAAATCAACAATCAATTTGATCTGCTATTCAGCTTTTCTTCTATGAAAGACTGCATGTTGAAACATTGCAGGAGGCGGAAAGCTGCTGGAAACATTGCAGGAGGCAGAAAGCTGCTGGAAACTATTACACGCTATTGCAATTTGCATCAATGGAGGGTGTTTTGTGTGATTGCCGATGCGCAGCCATTCATAACCAAGCATCGGCTTATTCATATGTTCTACAGTATGAGACCCAATCTATTGTTCACTGATAGGAGACCTGCAAGCAACTGATGCATAAGCATTTCCATTGTTGACAAGAATTATCCCAAAAATATACAATAAATTACTCGAAATCCAACGTGAAACGAGTTAAAATTGTGCGACAAAGCATGTTAATGTGGATATAATGGTAAGTGGGTACACCCCAAACCAGGTGCGATAGTCTTGCGTAACTGACCAAGCCCACTGCCGCACCACAACCAAACGCAAGCAGCTCCGAGCAGCAGGACACGGGTGGAGAAAAAATCTAGCATCATTATTGCTTGCTACATTGTCATTGTAGTCTATTGTTGACAGCTTTAAACTTTGGGAACCATTAAAGCAGTGAGTTGTATCATAACCTCCTAATGCAAAAAAAATGAAACAAAAAGTAAACACGTGACCATTACGTCTGCAACACTGTTGTACTGACGTTTCTCCCTACCTTCCGACTGTTCCAGTATTGACCCACATGCCACTCCGCGCGTGGTTCGCCCCCGGTCACGTTAACCAGGCGCGGGAAAGGAGTGGTGTGGAGGAAATGAGTAGTTGCCAACTCGAGAGCCTTGGCTTTAGTGAACTAGCTAGGTAGAGCGAATGTTGCTCAAAAATTCAGCGCTGAAACAAAGGTAGCGTTTTCCTTCCTCTCACTTCAGATTGCTCACTAACTAATAAGTAACTCTGTACTTTTGCCTAAACTGCCCTTATTTGGTGAAATAGCAACCATAATTCTAATTATCTCGCCTGTGAGTCTTTCGTTTTTGTTTCTCCAGCTGATTTCTTCAAAGGCACGCCCCCATGGTGTGCATCAAGATGTCTTGGCGACGGGGAGCCAATGGTAAGGAGTCGCGTTCTTCCTGTTACCGCCCTAATGCAGTTTACCCGCCCTGTTAACTCAAAACCTGCCGTGCCCCCTCCTTCTAGACAAGCGCCAGACAGACAACTTCACAATTTCCACTGAACATTTTACAATAACACATTTACAGGAAGAACTGTGCAGATACAACGTTTGGTAACAGAATAAAACTGAGGGAGATTTTACCTTAATACCAAATTTTGCATCTGCACAGTTTTTCCCAGTAAATGTTTTTTTTTTGTCTCAGCATAATTCTGTTATCATGGAATTGCCCCTTATCAACTGCAATGCCACAAGTGTCTTTTGGCACACACTGTAGATGAAACAAGAGCAACATCTATTTATGATTTTCAAATATTTTACAAACTCTATTACACAGTTCTTGATGTCACATTACTTGATCTCTTAATGAAGAAAACTAACCATGACTATAGGGTACTTCACTCCCCAAAACATGACTAGGATACTTCACTCCCAAAACATGACTAGGGTACTTCACTCCCCAAAAACAAAAACATTTCAAATACAGGTAAAATATTTGCCAAACATATCGCTGTGAGGCGGTTGTCACTAGTTACCACAGTCAAAAAGTCAAAATTGGCTAAATCGTAAAAATTCATGAAAACTACAATTAGATTTTTGGTCTTAATTTAAGTCTTAGGGTTAGGCATAAGGTTAGCAGTGTGGTTAAGGTTATGGATAAGGTTAGGGTTAGGTTTAAAATACTAATTTTGACTTTGTGGCATTTTGACTTAATCTATTTTGACTTAATCCATTTTACAGCCTGAATGTAAAATTGATTAAATTGAGATTGTGTGTCACTGGCCTACACACAATACCACATAATGTCAAAGTGGAATTATGTTTTTAGACATTTTTAC